TATAAGCTCCTGGAGGGCAGGAATTATTTCACTTTTGTCTTTGTATTTGCAGCAGTTAGCACTGTGCCTGGCAGGTTGTAAATGCTTTTTGAATGATTGAGTTTATAAAAGAAAAAATATTAATATTGATCTCTGTGATTTTGGAGCAAGTCTGTCATCTATTTATTAAATTGATTTATTAATTAAATTTCATTTATTTAAATGTATTAATCTGAGTTAACCAATTCATTTAATTTTAATTAATTAAAATTAAATTTATAAATTTGCCATTTATTTACTATCTGCGCCATTTCTACCTTAGAGACAGACAGAAATTCAAACTGACATAGTTCCTCTGTGCCCTCCAACATACCTCCTTTCCTAAGACCATTTGAGGTAACATTTCTGGAAATCTTGAACAAGGAAAAGATCATAATGTGTTCAAATGCAGTTTAGGGTTTTCATTCCAGAACAGAATAGTCACTACTCATTTCCTTTCTGCATGCCAGCTCAACTACCTCCTAGAAGAAAGAAAGGGATCTCCTCCCTTTGATAAAAACCTTAATCTTTTTTCAATGGAGACATTTTTTCAGGCAATAAACAAAAAGGAAACTGCCTTCAGTTGGGTCAGCAGCACAAATAAGAGGTTCCCTTTATTCTCTTCCATTTTTATTTTAGCTCCTAATTTGCTTCTCTACCCAAATCCTGCAGCTTTCTCACCCTGGAAGATCCTTCGGCCGCTAGGGCCCCTTCCTCTGATTGGCCAGTTCCTTCCACAAGCTTCATTTTTTTCCCCACTTAATAGTATTTTATTTTTTCCAATTACATACAAAGATAGTTTTCAACATTCACTTTTATAAGACTTTGAGTTCCAATTTTTTTTCTCCCTCCCCCCTCCCCAAGATGGCAAGGAACCTGATATAGGCTATACATGTACAATTATAGGAAGCATATTTCCACATTAGCCGTGTTCACAAGTTTCATTTTAAGGCAGCCATGTGCATTGCTTCATTGATCTCTGGGCTCCACTCCTGACTTCTTTCTCTACTGTGCTCCCTCAGAGGTACCTTCTCCCCCCCCCCCCCCACTGCTTTTTAGTTCTCTTTCATGTTTTCTTTTCCTTTTCCTTTCTTTTTATCTTTTTTTGTCTTCCTCCATTAGAATGCAAGCTCCTTGAGGGCAGAGACTATCTTTTAGCACAGTGCCTAGCACCTAGTAACTTGACTTGTTTTGTTCCAAATTATGGTTATGGCCTTGAATCCATTTTCCTAAGAAAAGTCTTTCTTCCCCAGCCTAACCCACCTTCAAACACAGAAATCTTTGAACAGTCTGGAAAGGGTTTTTTGACCGTAAAAATATTATGTCGATATTTCTAGAGAAACTAAAAAGAAAGTTTTTATGTGTTTCTATGTTTTTCAACTCTTCTCTAGAGCCAAACTTGGTCATTATAATTGTATAACATTCAGTTTAGGGCTTTTGTTCCTTACATTTACATGGCTGTAGTGAAGGTGTAGATTGTTTTTCTGGTTCTGCTCATTTCACTCTGCATCAGTTCATGTAAATTTTCTCCTGCTTCTGTGAATTCTCCATATTAGTTATTTCAGTTTCACACTGTCTAAACCTATCACCTAATCTTGATCCTGGTGTCAATTATTTATCAACTTCAGGGCATTCTCTTTCCTTCTTCAAAGAGTTCAGTGTCTGATTCGTAGCTGTTCTCTTCTTCCTAACTCCATTTTACAAGTGAGAAGACCAAGGCAGACAGCGGGTAAATGACTTGCCCAGGGTCACACAGCTAATAAGTGTCTGAGGCAGGATTCGAACTCAATCTTCCCCACCTCAAATCCAGCACTACCTTACTCTGCAAAGCCTATACTAGTAGAGAACAAATTATGGCAGCTTTATAAGCTTGCAGTACAGTACTGTCCTGGTGTCAGATTCTATTTCTTGAGTCCAAGGACCAGCTTAGATAAGTCCAGAGAGGGCTATCGCTAGTAGAAGGGATAAGACGTATTGAACTTTTTGGCCATGGTAACTCATGAAACAAAGAAAAGACTTCTCTCTGTCTCACTTTCTTCATCTGCAAAATGAGGATAAGAATAACACACAGGAAGGATCAAAGGACATAATATATGCACAGCACTTTGCAAACCTTGTGCTATATAAATGCTGGTTATTACTGTTTAAGAACTGAGGTCCACCTCCACGCTGTGATGAAGCATGGGACTTGCGTTGAGGTTCACCCTCTTAGTAGGGAACCCTTCTTCTATTTTGATTCTGTATAGAACATCGTCCATGATGCTCTCAAACACGTCTCCCTGGTTTATGCCTTGCTTGATGTATTTAGAACAAAATTTTTTCTACATCTTTCTTGGAATTTCTTTAAGGGAAATACCTTCTTTAAGGATAGAGTTCCTAAGGCTGTCCTTTGCTCAAAGATCTGTCTATGTGGGTTTTTAAACAATAAACTTAGTAGAATCATGTTCTCCATGAGTGTGGGACTGGGAAAATGTGGCTTTCTGTAGGGAATCGTTTATGAAAGTCTGCCTCTTCCCTTCTCACGTTTTCATCAAGGATGCCTTTGCTAGAGCATCATTCTCTTAAAGAGTTCATAGAGTTGAGAAAGGAGTTCTTTGGGTTAGGTGGATGGCTGCAAGTGCTTTCTTAGTCACCTTTGGGGGGGATAGATAATATCATCTGCATCTCTCTCTTTTTTTTTTTAAGAAAGATGGAAAGGATCCCTTCTTTAAAATGTCTTGAAAATCCAACCCTGAGGGCCTTTAATGCATTAATTTCTTCAGGATGGATCAGATCTAGTTCAATTGCCCTTCCTGATTTCCCTCTTTCAGACCAGGGATGGAGGTTTTACAATCCGCATGAGGCGGAGGCACCGTTCTTAAGGATGAGAGTAGGTCATTAAAGGAAGGCAGGCACATCGGTTCAAGCAATCGAATCAGCCTCATCTCTAAATACACGTGGGATGATCTGGCTTGGCTGGTTCTCATGCCAAACCTTCTGAAGGCTTGTTTTCCCCCTCCATTGCTTTTCATTGTTTTGATAGGCAGTATTGTGTGTTATCTTCCTTCTTTACAATGTTTTTCAAGTGAGCTTGTATGCTATAATGGTGTTGCTCAGGACAATATGTTTACTGGAGAGCAAATGTTTGCTTGCTAAGTCTGATTCTGGGCTTTCTTGACCTCCTCATTATGGTGACTATTTTTTCTGTTCTAAAAAAAATGGTAATTCCTTATCTCCCTTCTTTGCAGAGTCCAGGGAAGAGAACAAGAATTTATTAAGAGTCTCCTAGGGACTGGGCCCTGTGCTAAGCACCAGATCCTCACAACAACACTGGGAGGTAGGTGCTATTATGGTCCTCATTTTATAGTTGAGGAAACTGAGGCAAATAGAGGTTGAGTGACCTGTCCAGAATCACACAGGTAGTAAGTGTCTGAGGCAGTATTTGAATTCAGGTCTTCTTTACTCCAGGCCCAGTGCACCAATATGGATATAAAATTTTACATACACTGTCAAATTCAGTTGACACATTGATTAGTTTTGCTGAACTGTTTTTTTTTCTCCTTTTTTAAAAAATTATTTATTACAAGGGATGGATCCCTGGATGGGAAAGGGAAAAAGAATATATTTAGAAATGAAAGTGATATAAATATTTTATAATAATAACAACAAAGAAATGATGATAATTATTACTGATTACCGTTTTCCAGATCCCATAGTTTGTTTAAAAAGTTTCAATTGGAGAGAAGAGATGAGAAACCTCAACCTTTTTGGCACCTCCTTCCTTCCTTTCTTACTGGTATAGAAAACTGCATGTACTGTCAGATTGGAGTGGTGTATTTGCTAGTTTTGTTGCAAGTGATGGCTTTCAGGGTAGGAGAGAGGGAAGGATGTAGGTCGAAGAGGAGATGATGTAAAAATAAAAGGTACCAACACAAAATAAAAATTAAAACAATAGGTTGGGTTGGAGCTGGACTAACTGCAGATATTCTCTGATATCAGCCCATCTTTGTTTCTTCTTCTGATTTCATATTGATACTGACCTTTACCCTAGCCAGTTAATGATCTGACTGCATACTACTAACTGATTGGGGGGAGGGAAATCTCCCTCAGTAACTGGTCCATTAGATCACTGATTCAGAGTGGTGTTTGGTGGCCCAGTGGCTAAAGCACTGGGCTTCAGACACTAGCCGTATGGGCTAGTCACTTGACCCATCTGTCTCAGTTTCCTCAACTGTAAAATGGAGAACATAATACAACTTTCTCTCTCCCAAGATTGTTGTGAGCACCGAGTGAGATAATATATTCATAAATCATTGATCAACTGGTCTGACACTTTCATTTATAGAGGAGGAAACTCAGGCTCAGAGAGTGGAAGGTACTTGCCCATGGTCACTCAGGCAGCAAATAGCAAAGCCAGGATTTGAACCCAGGCTCTTTGACTCTACTACACCATTCTGCTTTTCACAGTTGCTTCCTCTTGTTTAAATATAGCCAATTTCATTTTCTTGTGTGTGTGATGTCATTCAATGCTCACAATGAGTGCCTAACACCTTCCCCAGGAAGTTTGGAGCCTCTTTCATTTCTAATCCTGACCTGTGTTTTCCAAGCTATTTTTTCCTATTACTCCTATGTACCCACCGTCCCCATAGAGATCATTCACTGTCAAGGACTACATTGACTTTTACAGATAAGGAAACTGATATTAAATGACTTGCCTCGTGTTACATGGATAGTATGAACTAGAAGTGATATTTGAATCCAGGGCTTCTGACCCCAGAGCTAGTTCTAGTCTCACAGAACCACATACCCTCTAGAGATCCTAGGTTTCCTAGAAAATTATGTTTCTTATTACTTTGGGGCACAGGATGAAATCAATTTCCCAATCTGGTCTTTACCAGTAAGAGAAGGAAAGTAATTACATTCTTTTTATTTCCCAGGGGTGGCAGGATGAATTAAAGAGAAGAATGTACAGGAAAGTGCTTCAGAAAAAAGTTTATACTTCCTACTTTTCTTTGCTGAGGTAGTGGACTATGGGTGTGCAACGTTGCATATACTTTTAGAAACAATTAATATGTTGATTGGTTTAGCTGAATTGATTTTTTTCCCCTTTGTTTATACTTTGTTACAAGGTTTGGCTTGTTGGATTGAGGATAGGAGCATATTTGGAAATGAACATGATGCAAAAACAAAATATTGTATGTCTCCAAAAGTTTCAGTGCCAGGTAAAGCTATTTAAGCTTATAAAAACATTTTAGAATAACAATAACAAGGAAATGATGATGACCATTATCTGTTACCCATTTTTCAGGTTCCATCGTTTAAACTGAGGTAGAGAGTTGAGAAAATGTGCCTTTCTCTTCCCTTCTGTGCAGAGGTGATCAACCATCCCTCTGAAAAATTGGGTAGTTGTGCAGAACTGACCTAGGTCATTAAAGCTTAAAACTGCACTGAGTGCTGGGAAACTATAGGTCGATAAAGATGGGTGAGGGGGTATTCAAGGGCTTGTGTTATACAAGTTTATTCTTATTTAAACAGAAGAGGAGCCCAGAAGCTCAGATGGAAAGGACTTAAGGGGTCCAAAAAGATTCCTCTCCACAGTCTGCCTCCTGACAAGTGGTCATCCAGTTGTTACCTGAAGACCCCCAGGGAGGGGAAGCCCATCAATTTCCTGATCAACCCATTCCATTTTTCCATTTTTCCTTCTAAACAGCCTAATTTGGCCTTTTCTAACCATTGCTTCTAATGCCCCTTGTGGGGGAGGGGGAGGGGAGGGTCCTGGGACAAGCAGAAAAAGTTACTGGTTCTTCTGGGTAATGACCTTGAAAATACTGGCACGCAGTTCTCATGTCCTCTTTAACTCCTTCCCTTCTCCAGACTAAACAGCCTCCAGTTTCTTCAACAAATAGATCCTCAGGGCCTTCCTCTCCACCCTGGTTTCCCTCTCTGGAGAATTTTTCCAATTTGTCAACCTATTTCCTTAAATAAAATGTCCAGCTTTATGACAGCATTACAAAAGGCGGTTTCATATGAAATTATTTGGGACGTCACAAACCTCTCTTTCCCTAAGCAATCATTCTGCTCTGTGTCCGAGATTCTTTACTTTTCTGGACAGCTCTAGAAGAGTAGGATACGCACTTTTGTTTTGTTTTTTTCCTCCCATGATTGGTTGGGGGAGGGGGTTTCCCCACTCCTTCATTAAGGTCCTGAGGTCTGGAATTGGCTGGGGTGGGAATGGGGCAACAGGTGAATGGGGGCAGGGGGCGTGGTCTGTCTGGGGAGGAGGTCAGGCCTGGCGGTTCGGGGAGGGCTGAGTCAGCAGAGGGAAAAGTGAGGGCTGGGGCAGGGCGGGCCCCAAGTCCTCACATACTCTGAAGCAGCGCCGGGAATGTTAATCAGAACCACGTTGTCCCTGCCCCCACCCCGGCATTGTTTTGGGTGGCTTCTCGCCTGTGTTTTCTCCTCTTTTTGTGTCTCGGGGCTGGATTCGGGAGATTCCTGGAAGGCTGTTTTTTTGTTTGTTTGTTTTTGGTGGGGAGGGTGAAAATCATTCCAAAGGCACGCCCCTGGGGTGCCGGCAGGGCGGAGAGAGGAACCTGGCACAAAGGAACGAACACTTCCTGAGAGTCACCCTGGCACTCGGGACAGGTCTAGGCAAGGCCCGATCACCCCACAGATCCGACTCGTGCTGGAGAGAGCCAAGGGAGGGGAGAAGGGATTGGAGCCTTCTTGCCGAAAAGCATCCCCTCCCCGCGGCGGCTCAGGTGTTCCTTCGAGCAGGCTTTGTGCTCTGGGGTGAATGGGGTCAGGCTCAGGAGAGGGACCTCCAATGAGCTGCAGTGTTAGCCTAAACATCTGCTCTCCACCCCATCCTGTGTGATCTTAAGCAAGTTATAACTTAAATAGGCCTCAGTTTCCTCATCTGTAAAATGAAAGAGTTGGGCCCCAACGCCCCTTCCCACTCTAAATCTGAGATACAGAATGGAGGAAGGGGCTTCTGTGATAAACAATGTCACACCTGAGCCTTATAGGTGCATGATAGTGACTGTGCGGTAAGTCACTGAGGACTGGCCGACTGCTGTCACTTGGGGAGCAGGGTGGGGGTGGGGGTGGGGAGATCGAGAGGGTACGTAAGTCCCAGAAAAGTGGATGTGGTTATGATTGTGTGTAATGTTACTGCGCATTAGAATTTCAAGATCAAAGAACTTCTCAGGTCGGGTTTGCCTATGTGTGTTTCTGGATTTGTGAGGACGTGGGCTTTGTCGATGTGTCAGTATGTTTTTTTGGGGGGGGGGAGAGCACGATAGCCTGGCGATTGGCTGACCCCACGGGGGCGGAGCAGGCTGGTTCTAGGGACTCCTCCCATAAGCCAGTGAAGTCCTTCTCTCCATCCATTCCTGGCATAGGACCATCTCTGAGGGTTGGGGTGGAGGGGAATACCAGGCCAGGAACCAGGAGTCAGTCTGTCCTTCCACCATGCCTGGCCTTCTCCCATCCCCCTGGAGCCACGTGGGGATGGGAGGGGTGTCATAAAGGCCCACACTCAGCATCGTCCTAAAATTACACCCAACAGCCGGGGGCCCTTCCCGGTTCAGTCCTCTCCGCAGCCCCATCCCTGGTCCCTGTCTTCCCTCCCCGCCCCCAGCCCCGGCCGGGAAAGAGAGAGAGAGGCCGGTCATTGTTTTCCACTGAGAGCCAGAGAAAGGCCGATGGGGCCAGCGACTGCAGTCCCCAGGGCTCAGCACATCTGTCTCCGCCACGTGACGAGGCCCCGGAGCCGGCCAGGAGGATGACCTCATTGCCACCAGCCCACCCCGCCCCCACTCCAGCTCCGCGCAGGCAGAAGTGTAGTCCAGAAGGGAAAGGGGGATGGAGGAGGATACCAAGCATTTATTAAATGCTAACTATGTGCCAGGAACTGTGCTGAGCATGGAGAGGGGTGGGTGGATTTCTTGGAAAATCCCAAATGGTTTAATTTCGAAGTGGGGCCGCCGGGAATCACTCCAGAAATGTCCTGGCTTCCTTTGGGAACCACTATATTCACCCTTTCCCATTCTGGGTCCCACATTCCTCCAGAAATCCACCCCCTCATTTCGGGGGTGGAAAACAAGGGACACCGGGAAGTTAAATGACTTAGCCATGGTGACACAGGGAACTAGCCGTGGCTGAGCTGATAACTTGGAACCAAGTTCAATGACCACCCCCCATCCAGATCTTTTTCTGTTTCATATCGAGGCTCAGCTCCGGTGGCTGCCCAGCCCCCAAGCCATTCCACATTCCCCCTCCTTCCCAGCTCAAAGGGTGATCTTTCCTCAAACTTGCTCCAATTACACCCTACACCGTATATTATGCCCATCTGAGCTCATGGCATATCCCCTTTTCCCTGGGGCCAGGAACTGTTTGATTTTTTTTTTTAATGTTTGTAACGTCAGCATGGAGCAAAGAAAGCTCTTAGTTTTTCATTTGTTTAATGGAAAAGAAGCTCCATCTTTCCTATTAGAGGCTGACAGCACAATGCCAGTTCCCCTTTATAATCTCCCTCCTTGCCCACCCCAGCCTCCATTCTTTATACCATATCCCAGCCTGGAGTCCCCTCCCCTGTGCCTAGCCAAACTGAATTCATTGTTGAGGGGCCAGCTCAAGCCCTACCCCTCCAAGAAGCCAATCCATACTATCTTCCTCTTCTTTGGCCTCTACTACCAGGGTAACTCTGGCAAATCACAACCTCCCTGGGCCTCAGCTTTCTCACCCATAAAATGAGAGGGTTGGACACCCTTTGAGATTTCCTTCTAGCTCCACATGTGTCAATCTGCAGTCCTCAAGGCACCTGTATAATCCCAGTTCCTTTAGCTCGAAGATGCTTAGAAATAAGGCCCCTTGCACTTGACAAATAAAGAAACTGAGGCCAAGAGTGACTGATCCAAGGTTATCAGAGTAATGAATGGCAAAGCTGGAACTCCTCCTGCCACACTTCTATGTGTCTGTTCAGCCACAGGCCTGGTACCACATACAGCGAGCCATCTTGTACCGTTCTCCAAAATGTTTCATACACCCCCCCAACTGGACATCGACCTTGAGGCCAAGATCCGAGGCTCGAATCTTCTTGTCTCCTTCAAAGTGTAGCTGAATACGGTGGCCCCCAATAAAATGAATTGACCCCATGGATTTTGACTGTTTCCTAATCTTTCGCCCTTCCCTCCCTGCAAATCCGGCCAGAGAGCCCATTTTATCTCCGTGGTTGGGGGAGGGACTGGACCCAGGGCCATAGGCTTCTCTCACACAGGCACGAAGAGGATCCATTCCCTTCCTTCCCAATCTCCTTCCTCCCTGCGGAGCTGACTGATTCTGCTACCCACTCCAGAAACCAAAGCATGAGCCACTACTGCCAGAGAAGGGCACTTTTGTGCCCCATCTCTCCCCCTCCCTTCCATCCCTTCTCTAGCTCCCACACTGATCTATCAGCAGAGGGACTGAGGAAGAGGGCAACACTTAGGAAAAAATGTAACTCTGCTGTTTTAATTGTAAAAGTTCTTTTGAGAAAAAAAAAAACAAAAAGCGAGAGGGGCTGTCTGAGGCCTACAGGGGCGCCCCAAGCCATGGCCCACATCTGCCTGTGTGGCCACGGTCAGGCAGCACCCCTCCCCCCTCTCCACCCCCCCAAAACCTACAGGGTATGTGGGCAGCTCCCACTGGGATGTAAACAACGACCAGAGCCATCTCTGCCAGACCTTGGGGACGCCAGGCTGGCATCACAGTGCGTGCGAGAAGAGGGGATGGGCACCAGGAGGGCTCTGAGGGGAGCTGAGCTCCCCTGTTCTCCCTTCTGTCCCACAGATTCTCTTCCATTCACCAGCAGGCAGAGCTGGCAGCTTCTCTCCATGCTTGAGGTTTAAGGGGATCAAAAGGCACTCAAGGGGTCTTTTAAGGCCTTGTGGAATCTATGCTATCTGGGCTCTGATCCCGTGGGTTATATGCTGGTGGGCACAAATATCAGGGAAGTTCAGTTCCAGAGTATGAGCCAGGGTTATCTATGGGTATGGAGCATGGGTTCAGGGTGCAGAGGACCGCCAAGCATGTCGATCGGGGCTAGTGCCCAGGCAGCTCCCACAGGGGGCCTCACAACCTTGGGGGGTTGGGAGGTGAGAAGAAGGATGGAGTCAAACCAGGGACAGACCTCACCTGGGCCTTAGGGGCCCCTGGCAAAACCCCACCAAGGGGCCTGGTGTTAGGAGGGATTGCAGTGTCCCCTGACCCATTGGCCAGCGGGAACAGGACTACAAAAAGGAAGAGTTAGAGACCGGGCAGCTTTCTCAGCCCCCAGTCTTCATCCCTCCTCTGGGCTTTGGCTAGATTCCCCATCACAAAGGGAAGCCGTCGTCCAGAATCCGTGCCATGAGTAGACAGTGGCTGTGGTTCAGGGGGAAGACAGGTGAAGAAGCCCTAAGGTTTTCAGCAGAAAGAAGGGGATGCTTGGATTTGCCCCATAACCCTATCCAGGGATGTCTAGCAATGACCCTGCTTCACCAGGTCCCATCATTTTGTTCAGGTAAGGATTTAGGGCCGGGGAACTAGGCTCTCCTGGGTTCTCTCTCTAGGCCACCACGGCCTTTGGTCTCCACAGGCTCCCTCCCCTATCTGCCTCTGCTCCCACTTCTAATCTCCACAGGCTCCCTCCCCTATCTGCCTCTGTTCCCACTTCTAATGATGAGGAAGTCGGGTCACTCAAAACTGAAAACCAGATCGCTCTCACCCTACTCTCGTTCCCTTTTTCAAAGCAGGGAGAGATGGGCCCTGCTCTAACTGGGGACCAGGGCAGTCACTGTGCGAGCCTCCCAGGAGGGGACTGATCTCCTTTACACCCATGCCATGAAGTCAGATCACCCCTGGGCGAACATACACCTACAAAGGAGAGGGGCAGAGGGACTGGTTAACCATGCCAAAGGGACAGGGGAAATTGGGACTCCGGAAGCCCCCGGAGGCTCTCTCTCTACACCTGAGCAGACGTCTGTGCTGCTGAGAACTGCACTGGGGGAGGGGAAGGCTGGAGCAGAGGCTCAGCAGGAGAGGCACAGGGGACAGGGTTAGAGGCTGTCGTACATGCGCAAGGTCTGCTCCAGTTGCTGGCTGACCCGCTGGTAAAAGAGAATCTGCTGCCGTAGGTAGGACTGCATCATGTGCTTGAAGTCCAGCACCCGGCGCTCGTGGAAATGGTTCATCTCGGCCTGTAGGGCGAAGCCCACCACACGGCAGCGCTTGCGGATCCCGTCGGCCTCGTCCTGGTCCATCTTGCCCTCGTCGCTCATGCGTTGGCTCTCTTTGACCTTGGCAAAGGCACCTGGACCCCATGAGAGTGGAGAGAGGAGTGGAAACTTTGAATCTGGCCTGCGTGCACAATCAGCTCTTATCTTCCCAGACAGACTGGGGGCTCGAGAGACGGGCTGTGATTTGATGGGAAGGTTCCTATGCCCTCATCCCCTCAGATCCTGCTGCGAGTGGGATCTGCCAGTCCCGTCTATGCCCACAGAGCATACAAATAGCATTTTCTGAGCCAAAACGTTCTCAGGAATGTTTTAGCTGTGGATTTCGTTTCCTTCTGCTCAGACCTTGTATTTGGAAGCTTTTGAAGAGCCAAAGCATACACTGTGAAATAGTCCCAGAGCCTCAAGAGCTGGAAGGGAAACTTCAGAGACCTCAGTTTAGTGAACTCAAACTTGAGAGAGAATTCCCAATGAGTGGCTCGCTGTCCCAACTCTCTCTGCCTGGAGACCTCCAGTCAAAGGGAACCTACTCACTTGAGAAGAGTTCTACGGAAGTTTTTCCTTCCAGACAGCCAAGTCTGCCCCGTCAGGGCCAAGCAGAGTGAGTCTAATCCTCTGCCCTACAAATATTCACAGGCAACCAGCATGTTCCCCTTGCCTAGCCCCAGGCACAGCCAGGTGTGATGGATTTGGAGCTGGCCTCAAAGTCAGGGAGGAGCTGCGTTCAAACCCAGCCCCTGATGCTACTGATGGCGTGACCCTGGACAGCTCATTTAACCTCTTAGTGCCCGGGCAAGTCTCTAAGATTGTAAGAAGCAGAGAAGTCACCTATCTGCTTTGGTAGACAAAGAGGAAATCACAGGTCTGGTTCAAAATGAAAAATCTCTCCCCAGTGAGGTACTATCTTCTCTTGTCTATTTTCCTACCTGCCCTTATATATACTTAGAACACTAGTCCGCTTTAGCAGAATTATAAATGGGGTCACAAAGAGTCAGACCCAACTGAAAAAGACTGAAAATTTAATACATTGTTATATGTTATATTAATATATTGTAATGTTATTGTATTAATATATTATTATATATTATTCCAGAAGAGGAAGGTGATGGGGAGGAATCATGGGACATTGGAAAGAGCAACGGCATTTGAAAAGAACTGGATTCACGTTCCAGCTCTCCTGCTTACTAGCTACTAGCCAAGGGCCAGCAACTTTCCCTTTCTAGGTCTCAGTTTCCTCATCCGTACAATGAGGCAATCGGCCTGTATGATAATAGTGACGATAACAAAATAATATTCAGACATTGCTTTGGTGCTTGCTAAGTACTTTCCATCCTTTGTCTTATGTTACCCTCACAACAATTCCATGAGGTGGTAACACCAGTGGTGATCCTCATCTTTCTGATTGGGAAGCTAAGGCTCAGAGGTGTTACATTTGAGTTGGCCATGGTCACACAGTCACGGAAATGATGCTGCATGAAGGTAATGGGATGCTTAGGCAGAGAAAAGACAGATGGGGGCAGTGGGGTGGGGGAGATAGTTTCAAGCATTTGAGGGCTTGACATTTGGAAAAAAGATTAGATTTGTTCTGCCTAGCCTCAGATGCCAGGAAAAGGACCAATGGAGAAAAGTTACAAAGAGAGAGATTTTGGTTCAATAAAAGGACAAATTTCCTAAGAGAGCTGTCCAAAAGTGCAACAAGCTGTCTCTGGGAGTAATGAGTTCCCCATCTCTGGAGGGCTAAAAGTAGAAGCTAGATGACTACACTGACCAGGGCATGGTAGAGGTGATTTCACACATTATGAAGGAGCCAGACTTGACCAACTCTTTGTTCCCTTCCATCTCTGGGGTTCTAGGATTCTACAAATATGAGGAAACATTTCCTAAGAAATAGCTTTCCAAAAATGAAACATGCTGCTTGACAAGGAAGCCAGTTCACCGTTTCTGAAGGTCTTCACATGAAGGCTGGACAGCCCTTACTGTGAATGCAGAGATGGATGGTTTGGTGAGGGAGGGGCTACCTAAAACCCAGAGGTCCCCTTCTGTTCTAGTATATGATGACCTGTTGAGTACCTACTATGTGTACAGCAGGAAGGGGAGGCAAAAAAGTCTCTGCCTTTAGGAGGCTTATAGTCTCGCTGGAGAGAGAAAGCTTGAACAATAAGTTAGGCTTAGAGCCAGGATTTGGACAAGGGTTAGAACACAACACCGTGGGCCCAAAGTGCCAATGTGTGGAGACAGGGAGCAGGAGCTCAGTGAGGCTTGGTTGGAGTGGTCAAGGAAGGCTTCCTGGAGGTGGTGGGGCTTGAGCTAGGGCTTTTGTAAATTCAATTCAATAAACAATTATTAAGTTCCATCTATATGCAAGGTATTGAGGGTACAAAAATGAAATCGAACCCTGTCCCTGCCTTTAAGGAACTTCCAATGGTGAAGGGAGCTGTCAGAGGGCTCTAACAGGATATCCCCCATTGCTGAAATCTTCTCCTTCCTTGTCTCTGGTTCAGTTTAATGCTTAAGGACTGCCCCCTTCTCTTTCTCCCCCAGTTGTTAAAGTAAGCTCCTTGAGGGCAAGAACTGTCTCACTTTTGCATTTCTGTCTCAAGCCTTAGCACAGTGCCTGACCTATAGTAGGTGCTTAATAAATGTTTATTGATTGAATGTATGCATGGACTAGTGGGTGCACATAAAGGAATCATGGGAAATGAGGCTGGAAGAGTAAGTGGGTCCTGTTGGTAGAAGGTTTTGAATGGCAGGATGAAAAGTGCAGACTCAGTATAGGGCCAGTGAGTTGATGCCAAACTTAATAGCCCAGTGTAAACCTGGGAGGCAGTGGGGTCTGGTAGGAAGAGCACCTAGTCCTTGGGAGTCAGGAGCCACTCACTGGCTGTATGACCCTGAGCAGGGGAATCGACATCTCTCAGTCTCAGTTCCTTCATCTATAAAATGGGGATAACCATACCTGCGCAATCTGCCTCACATGGTTCCTGTGAGACTACTTTATGAACTGAAAAATGCCAGAGTTGTTCATGCCACCAAGCTGCTATGCCCTACCCAACTTAACACTTCCTTCCTCTGCTGTGTTCCTGCTCTCACCACGTGCTACTGGGTCATTGTGTGGGGCAGTAGAATGAGCAGTGGCCAAGGAAGTTAGAGGACCCAGGTTCAAATCCCAACTCTGACTATGGACATGTCTTTTCACCTCCCTGGGCCTCAGTTTCTTCAACCGTAAAATAAAGAGATTGTACTTAGTGATCCTGAGGTCCCTGTCTGCCCTTGCTTTCTGATCCTATGATTTGCCCCCAGTGGGGGCCTTCTGAAGACCCTAACTTAAGGCCCACCCAACAGTCAGCCTCATCCCTTCTCATTCCCACTGCCCTGTTTCTCCTCCTCACACCTCATCTCGTCCAGGCAGCCTGGTCTCTTCTTTACGCCCTGCATGAGTCCTATTCATTTTTGACTTTGAGCACTTTCTTGGGCTATGTCCCTTGCTAGGAATGTCCTTCCCTCTCCATCCGAATCCTTCAGGTCAACCTTAAAGCTCCATTCCTCTACGGAAGAAGATTACTCTAGCCCACAAGGATTTCTCTCTGAACCACAGTTTAGCATTGAATCCTGTTCAATACATATAAGGCCCATCTGCCCAACCAGACTGGAAGCTCCCTAGGGGAGACTCTGTATCTTCTCCTCCTGTCCCCCTCACAGCCTGGCACAGAGTTAGACACAAATTGGGCACAAGGAAAACTTTTTTTTTTTTTGGAGGCAACCAGGGTTAAGTGACTTGCCCAGGATCACACAGTTAGTAAGTGTCTGATGCCAGATTTGAACTCAGATCCTCCCTACTCCAGGGCTGGTGCACCACCTGGCTGGCCCAGGAAGATTTTTTAAAGTGTGAAACTTCAGATCTTTGGACAAGTAAGAGATATTTAGAGAGAGATCCTGGGGCCCAAGGAGCTCCCACCTCCAGATCACCCTAATGCCCCTCAAAATGTACTGCACAGATGACTTTCTACAGGAGGGGAAGAAAATGTTGCCTGGTTTCAGAAGGAATCAAGGGCATAGCTAGGACTAGATCCCGGTCATCTTGCTAGTTGAGACAGCCAGGGAAACTCAAACTCAAAAGCCAGCCTCTACTTTACCCAGGACTTTTGCTGGGACCCTTGTACCCTGACTGCTTCAAAGGCACCCATGGCTTGAGGGACACCTGAATAAATTACGATATATGAATGCAACGGAGAAGGAAACGCAAACCACTGCAGTATCTTGGCCAAGAAAACCCCAAATGGGGTCACAGAGAGTTGGACACAACTGGAAACACTGAAGAGCAACAATAACAAACGTGAGTGTAATGGAATATTATTGTGCAGGAAGAAATGATGAAGATGATACAGTCAGAGAAGACCTATGAGATATGAAACAGCAGAACCAAGAGAATAGCCACAATGCCTTTTTTTTTTTTTTGCTTTTTGGTGAGGCAATAGGGGTTAAGTGACTTGCCCAGGATCAGCTAGTTAAGTGTCAAGTGTCTGAGGCCGGATTTGAACTCAGGTCTTCCTGACTCCAAGGCCAGAGCTCTATCCACTGCACCACCTAGCTGCCCCTCCACAATGACTTCTACAAAATAAATGAGAAGATCGCTACTGGGAAGAATGTTTCATTATCTCTTCTATAAGGTTCTTCATTAATTTTTCCGCTGCTCATACTTCTCCCTCTTGGCAGAGAGGTGGAAGACTACAGAGACAGACTAGTGTAAACACTGCCCAACAAGGTTCCTGTATGCAATGTTTCTGATTGCTTTTCTTTTCTTTTTTTTTTTAATTTTAGGCAATTGAGGTTAAGTGACTTGCCCAGGGTCACACAGCTAGTAAGTGTCAAGTGTTTGGTCTGAGGCAGGATTTGAACTCAGGTCCTCCTGACTCCAGAGCCGGTGTTCTATCCACCTAGCTGCCCCTCGATCGTTTTTCTTTGACACAAAGAAAGGGTTCCATCTGTAAGGGAGTGGGAAAGCGGTTGTGATCAAAAGACATCAATAAAACATTTTTAAAAATAAATAGGATAGAGGCAGCTAGGTGGTGCAGTGGAT